AAATTTTGATCACATGACCATGGGGATGCTACAACGGTCATAAATATGAAAAATGGTCATAAGTCACTTTTTATTTGCCGTTGTAACTTTGAACAGTACCTAAATGAATGGTTGTATGTTGAGGACTACGGTACCTGTATTGAAAATGGTACAGCCCTGTTTTAATCATGTGTTTAGGCCAGAGGTCTTCAAACTTGTCAGCTTTAAGACTTGTGGACTTCAACTCCCAGAATTCTCCAGCCAGCTGGCTGGAGAATTCTGGGAGTTGAAGTCCACAAGTCTTAAAGCTGACAAGTTTGGGGACCCATGGTTTAGGGCAACAATGGAAGAGAGGAAACACAGACGTTTTATCCCTAGCTTTCACTGCCACACTTAAGTTTTTTTTTTTTTAATTGTCCTGATCTGTTAGTTTGTTCCACATTAACGTGGAACATTTAAAATGTTTTATTTGGCCACGTGAGTGACTAAAGTTTAAAAGTTTGGTTTGAAGGAGTTACGTTCGTTTCCATCTCGTGTGAGAGAGTTTTGCTTCTGTTGAGCTGCACCATTGTACAACTCAAATCTAGCCCTAACTTAACAGAAGTGAGCATTTCTTGCAGATATTCCAATTCACCTTTGCTATTTTGTCATGTCGTCATTTCTAGTTTGCCAATGCAATCTTGCAGCAGCTAACTAGGTAAGCCACTGTTTCTTTAGCTTTTTTGCAGAGGCAGCATTTGCTCCCTGTTACTGTCGTCTCAGTTTTGACTTTGTATGCATCTGTTCTTAAGGCCATGGTCTTATGCAGCCAGAATCAGACCCTCTGTCTCTTACTTCAACTTTGATGCTCTTAGTCATTGCTAGGGCTTGTTGTTATCTGGTTTGGCTGCTACATTTTTATGTACTGGCCATGTAATACTTTGCCTTTTCTGTTCTTCATTTGGTCTTTTTTATAGGCCAGTTTGGTCTCTCTGGTATTCAATAAGCCATCATAGTATACCAGCTTCACCGCATATTCTTCACTGTTCTTTAGATATACTTCCAATGTCCTTTTTTCTTTTCCAACTATCTGGTGTACTTGTAACATTCCAGCCCACCTATTTTCCATGGTAAATAGAGTTTATCAACATTGCTGTGTGGATTCATTGTCATTTTTGTGTGGATTCATTGTCATTTTTCTTATTTTCCTATCAAGGCTTTTAGTTTTGTTTGAGTCCTGTCAATTATTCCAGATATAGAATTCGATATTGTGTGTCTAATGGCCAGAATTGTCCAGATGCTAATTGCCTTGATGGTATTTCCTCCACTGAGTTTGAACTTTAAGATTTTCTTGACTCTCCTGATGTAGTCACATCTAATCTTCTTGACTATAGTGCAGAGGTGGGCAACTATGGCCCTTTTATGACTTGTGGACTTCAATTCCCAGAATTCCTGAGCTAACATGGCTGGCTCAGGAATTCTGAGAGTTGAAGTCCACAAGTCATCAAAGGGCCATAGTTGCCCACCCCTGCTATAGTGAGTTGATGTTGTCAGCTTGAAGGATGCCCATCTTCATAGTGATCATCTTCATCCAGATTTCTGATGTTATTTCCATAGGACATCTTGATTCCTTGAATTTCTACTATATTTCCCCTGTTTATGATGAAGGTGGTATATCTATCCAGTCCAAAATTCATTGCAATATCTTGGTACTGGGAAGCATCCAAACTGGCTGGAAGGATGGCTCAAGCACAGAGTTCACCTGGAGTCACTACACAACCAGCAAAGGGCTAGGACTAACCTCCTCCCCAAGTTCCTTGGAGTCTTTATCTATTTCTTCCCAAGAGAAGGCTGCCCAGTCTGTGGAGATTCCTATATTATAAGCAGAACATAATAAAGTAGTTAGCTTAGAATCTGCATCTGTGGCAGTGGTGGGTTCCTCCCGGTTCGGCCCAGTTCGGCTGAGCCAGTAGTGGTGATGCTATTACATCACTGAACCGGTTCTCTTTCTTCGGGAGCTGGGCCCTCCCGCCCGCCCCCGCGTTATTCTGACCTTATATTTCTTCTTTTTTCGCCCAGCTGAGAGGTGCAGCAGAGCGGATTGCCACACCTCAGCTGGGCAGATTCGCAACACGCTTGCGCAAAGCGCAAGTTTGGCACACATGCGAGAGAAGCAAGCATGTGCACGGCAATCGTGCACAAAGCGCACGACCGAAGAGGCGATCACACGCAAAGCGCGTGCACAAACAGAACCAGTAGTAAAGCCGGTTAGAACCCACCACTGATCTGTGGGTTTGGTTGTTCATATCTGACACTTAGATATATATACAAACAGTGTTGAACAGAGATTCAATTTCAGGTAATATTTTTCCACACAGCTTCAGATTGTCCATGTAAAGGAGTTAGGATAGCCTGGCAGATATGTTTGATCTTTGATAGCCATGGGCTGACTTGTTCAGCATTGTTGACAGAGGAATCAGTGCAATTACAAGCAGGAGTGTGAGAGTGAGTCTCCTTGAAAGATCCTCTGTTGATATTAATTTCTCCCAGTCTATTACCATTGACCAACGACTGTGTCTTCCATTGTGCCATTGATCTTTGCACAAAGCTGCTGAAGTTTCTACTGACTCCTGTTATTTTTAGGCATGTGATGATCAAATAATGTGCCAGAGAATCACATGCTTTCTCGTAATCAATCCAAGTTATCTTCAAGTTGGTCTTTCTTCTCTTTCAGTTTTCCAAAATCATCTTGTCAATTTGTTCCTGTACTTTATTTCTGCAGTTGCCTTTCTGCTCGAGTGCAAAGTTTGTTTTCAACCAGACGCTAGATACTGTTGAATTGTATCAATTAGCAATTAGCAATTTGAAAGTTGTTGGTAAGCCAGTAATTGGCCTGTAGTTGCCTGATGCTGCCACTTTTGCTGTATCCTTCATTATGAGGTAGATTTTGGCAAATGTTAACCAACCTACAATTTTACCTCCTTGCAGTATTGTTGTTAAACTGCTTGGCAATGAGTGGCTATAGACCAGTCAGATGTTTCAACTAAAAACCATTTCTATTTCTAGTGCTTCCTCAGTCTTTCTTGTTTCTAGGTGCTATTTCTTGTTATTTTTTTCATCTGTTTTAGTTTGCTTGATCTCAGCATGTTGATCTTACGTTCTTGCCTGATCTTTCATTTTGGTGGTGGACTGTTTGGCTTTTTTTCTTCTTTGATGATTTTGCATCCCAGATATTCAGTTATAACTGCAGCCATGCTGTTGATTTGTTTCTTGCTGTGAGCTTATCATTTTTATTATTATGGCTTGATTTCACAATACTCATTCAAACATTTATGTATTTGTAAATTGCCTGCTTCTTTCTGTCCTTCTTCCAGACTGAACAACCTAGATTTACATTTTTTTAAATTTATTTTCCAATTCCAGTAATTGGTTTCAATCCAGCCCCTTCAAATCTGTGATCACTCTAGTCTATAGATCCTCTAACTGATCACACATTTGTATAATGAAATTTAAAAGCAATTCTATATTATCGCTAATGTAGCTTCTTGAAAATAAAGATTTGTTGAAAAAATATTATGATTGAAAAACCAGTCTTTCTGATCCTGGAAAAAGCAATTTCATATATGTAAGTACATATTTTGCAGTTTTTCACTGTAATAACAGAATAACTGCGTTGGAAGGGATCTGAAAGGTCTTCTTGGCCAACCCCTGCTCAGGCAAGAAACTATATACAATTTCAGACAAATGGTTGTCCAATCTCTTCTTAAAAATTTGGAGCATTGACAACTTCTGGAGGCAAGTCGTTCCACTGATTAATTGTTCTGTCAGGAAATTTCTCCTTAGTTCTAGGTTGCTTCTCTCCTTGATTAGTTTCCATCCATTTGCTTTTTGTCCTGCTTTCAGATGCTTTGGAGAATAGATTGATTCCCTCTTCTTTGTGGCTGCTCCTTAGATATTGGAACACTGTTATCATGTCTCCCCTAGTCGTTCTTTTCATTATACTAGACATACCCAAACTGTTCTTTATGTGTTTTAGCCTCCAGTTCCCTAATCATCTTTGTTGCTGTTCTCTGCACTTTTTTCAAGAGACTCAACATCTTTTTTTACATCTTTTAATTTTTGTCAGAGATGCCAATATAATAGTTAGGGTGTCCTTCTACTCCCTCATTTTTCCTCTTTTCCAATTGTCTGTGCCTTCTTTTGTCCTTTCAGATATCTGGTAAGCCAGCTAGAAATCTCATGAGGTTGCCAAATATATGATTTCAGCATTGTCACCCTAAATCTTGTTTGCTGTTTTTGCTATAGTTATTGCTGGTCAACATGATACATACTGCTAACCCCTGATATAGCACAGTATAGTATAGTACAGTTGGTAATCATGATAAATACTGCTAATCCCTGATATAGTACAGTGTGTAATACTGTAAAAAATACTGTAATACTGTACAATGTAATACTGTAAAAAATACTGTAAAAAAGTGAGAGTCAGAAGGGATCATCTCCCTCATCTTGTTGATTATTTTTCCCCCAACTATTAGGAATGAAAGAATCTCTTATCTGGATTTCTGTAGTATTTAATGGGTTTCAGAAATATCCATTTTTTTCTCTTTCATTGTCAACTTGCAGTATTTTTTTTTTAAAGTTTCTATAACTATAATGTGGATATGCTCCTGTCACTTCACATTAGCGTTATACAGGGTGATTATACATTTGTTGAACAAAAGCCACTGTGAAGCATACTTCCATCTGATCCCTGGAGCAGTTTTGCATGATATATATATATATAATGTTTTCAGAATTTCTTTGTTTTCTGGAGTACAGGAAAGAATGAAAGCATGCATGAACACACACATGGTAAACTGTAATTATTAGAATACGGCCAGTTTATCCAAAGCAGAAGTTATGCAAAAGCATAATGAATTAATCAGCATCTGATCTGATAAAAATATGTGCCACGCAGACTGCAGAGCTAGAGTAGCAATAGGGAAAGGAATGGTGATGATGATTTCATATACATTAAGTGTCTCTTGTTTCTGTTCCAGGTTCCAGTTCATCCAATTCAGCAGGTTTGCCTCCCCCACTTCCGCCACCCATTCATGCCACACAGTCTACAGATTTATCGTCACCCCCACCTCCTCCTCCCCCTCCTCCAGGTTTCCGTCCATCAACACAAACTCCTGTTCTCCCCCCAAGGGGGAACATCCCATCCAGACCTGATTTAAGGTACATAGTTGTGAATTATAGTCCCTCTTCCATATTTTCTTTTTTCTTAAAAAGTGAGATGAATCTCTGTACTTCTCTTCATTGAAATGTCTTCTCCCTGTGCTCATACTGAAGCTCATGAGTTTTGGTATTCATCACAGGGAACTGCAATAAACAGCTGCAATAAGCTATGTACAGCAAAAAGTTATGGTTGTTTCATAAAGATTTCTTAATCAAGATATACTTCACTAGGTTCACCTAACATACTGAGCCATAAATAATGGTTTATAAAGCCACAACATGCCAAGCCAATATCAGACGAATCCCATTATATATGAACTATTCTCTTGTGACAATAAAAAGTTATTTTGGGGGAAGATTGTGCAAAAGCCAATAATAGATAGATAGATAGATAGATAGATAGATAGATAGATAGATAGATGATTGCTAGATAGATAGATAGATAGATAGATAGATAGATAGATGATAGATAGATAGATAGATAGATAGATAGATAGATAGATAGATAGATGATAGATTTACCATCTTTATTATTGTAAATATTTCAAGGTGAAACTAGAACTCATGGCCTCTTGATTTCAAATTGTCCTGTTTATGTATAAAATATAGGGCTGAGGATTGGATGGATCTTGTTTGAGTGTGGCTACTATGGCAGGCAGAATTGTATTAAGCATAGGTTTTTTTAGCATGGAAATAATGTGGAAAATAGTCCTTATTCAAATGCAAGTGTTAAAAACTTCTTAGAAAAAGAACCACATTCTGTGATTAAAAACATAAAAATCTTATGCAAAAATCTTAATTAAACCTTTCCCAATAAACTATAAAACAGAATGGACTTTCACTTAAAAAAGAAAATATATTTCAATGGGCTTTTTTCTTTTTCTTAACAAATTCACTTTTGTTGTTTTGCAGAGGCCAAGAAAATGAAGAAAATTATGATGATGTTGGATTTGGTTCAGAAGGTACGATAACCTATTATCATGGACAGGGGCAGGGTGAAATCCAGCAGGTTCTGACAGGTTCTGGAGAACCGGTAGTGGAAATTTTGAGTACTTCGGAGAACCAGTAAATACCACCTCTGGCTAGCCCCAAAATCGGGTGGGAATGGAGATTTTGCAATATCCTTCCCCCAGGAGTGAGGAGGGAATGGGGATTTTGCAGTATCCTTTCCCTGGAGTGGGGTGGGAATGGAGATTTTGCAGTATCCTTCTGCTGCCACACCCACCAAGCCACATCTACCAAGCCACACCATGCCCACCAAGCCACACCCACAGAACTGGTAGTAAAAAAATTTGGATTTCACCACTGGACAGAGGACATGTATGGGATCCATAACAAATGAGAAATAAGTCAGGACTCTGGGTTCAAATGTATTGACAATCAAGCTCTATAAGCCAACTTCGATGTTTGCATCTGCAGTTACAAAAAATGTGATATCTTAACACACTGACTTCCCCATCCTAGAATGCCCTGGCATGTGTCCTTGGTTTCCTTGCATATGACCTGTCCATTTAGCGATCATGAAGAAGGACCTACAGATCCATCTTCTACCTCAAGGTCTCCCATAGCTAAGTCTGTTTTCATATAGATTGAATAAACAGCAACAGAAACAGACTGAGTAGCATGCAAATTGCCTAAATCTAGTCTTTTCCACTATGATAAGAAGATCCAAAACACATTTTCCAAAGGATTTTTGAAGCATGCAGAGTCTCAATAAGATAAACAATAGAGTAATTAAAGATGAAGGGGATTTTCAGATTAAGTACAAGGATTAATACAAGGATTAATACTCCATTGCAGCATTCATGTTATATAATGAGCTAACATTTGATTTAGATGAAGCTTTCATAGAATTGTTGTGGAATATATAAAGACGTATAATAAAAAATAGTGTCATAGAATTGTATCACAAGTCCATGTCTCTGGGCCATGTCTGGAACATCTCAAAGCAGGTTAAAACAGACAGAATTTGCATGACATCATTGTTTATATACACCCACCCACCCTGATTCCCTTCCTTCCCAGCCTGTTGCCCCCCAACCTCCCCGTACACCACTATTTAACAAGGGCTACCCATGACTTGGTATTTTGATTGCTAGACTGCAAAATAATGTAATGCAATTGTTTCACCTTTTTATCCATTAGATACTGGGAATGCAGATGAAGTAAGTATTACCCTTCATAATCTACAAATGTGTATGTGTGTTTGTGTATGCACGTATATATGTACTTATGTATATGTATATGTACCAGTATGTATATATGTGTGTATGTATACACACTTTTCAGTCTTCTTACTTTTCAATAAAAACTAAAACTTTTTTTCCCCTTTTCATAAAATCAGAACAGCGATGGAGAAATGTATGAAGACATAAATGAGATGAGGTATGAAAAAGATATATAAAGTGTGGGCCTCTGATCGTATGATAATAATCGCAGCTATTATTAAATCATGACCACAATCAAAAGTTATTTGCAAAAAGATCCAAAAGAAAATGTAAAGCTCCACTTGAGGCATTCTAGGCATGAATTCTGATTACCAATGTCCAATATATCCTGATCATCCATGACTTTTCTTTTCCTGCACATTTTAGAGGCTTGTGCTCGAGCTATGAATAAGTCCATTTGCTTTTAGCTATGTCAATATTTCTTGAATTATAAAAGGCTGGAAAGAATTACATTGGGGATGCATTAAATGGGCAAAAGTATAAACAGTCTATTTGACTATTCGTTGTCCATTTTCAGGTTGCACCACTATTGTTTACCTTTAAAAAAAAATCAGGAGATCTCAAAACCGATCTATTGCTTCATGTGAAGATTGTCTGCCCTGTGCAAGCAGTCAACACTATTTCTAATGTAAAGTTACATTAGGCAGAATATTGCAAAATTCTTCCTTCCTTTCTTTTTGTTAATCCTTCCTTTCTGAGGGTTTAGCCAAACTCCATTAGCCAAATGGAGAACTTGGCAATTTTATCACTGAAATTTGATAGCATAATCAGAAGATATTTTGGGTTAACCCAAAAAAGCAGTTTGGCCTTGAAATTTGGCTGGTTACAAAATACTGGATTTGACTGACAATCAGGTTGATTAAGAAAACAGATTGTTACTCAATTTGCTGGCCTTTCCAGTAAAAGTGAGGTTGTATACAGGAAATGTTGGTACAAAATCCCCTATTTAGAATATCAAAATAGCAGATGTAAGCAGTAGCGAGATTTACTAACTTCAGTAGGTTGGTAGTCAACATCCCCTCACCCCAAACACAACTTCCCATTTTAATGGACATTTTGGAAAGTTCTTTCCACTGATGGTCATTTTTTGTTTTCTAAAAGGGCCCTCAGAAATGTTGATTTGAGGAAAGAGAGGTGGTATATATCATCTTATTCCAGAGATCTTGCTAAGTCTGCCCCTTTCTTCAAAACTGTGAGCTGCACCTCAAATAGAACCACATTTAAAAAAAAAAAAAAACACCCTTTGGGGGTAATTCATCTTTACAGCTGAATAGCGTATTAAGTCTCCTTCTTCTTATTGTGCAGATTTACATCACAAGAAGAGGAAAAAAAGAAAGAGAAGGAGGAAAAGAAAAAATCTGATCAAAAGAAAGAACAAAGGGATAAGGATAAAAAGGAGCAAGAACTCAGAAAGAAATTCAAGGTAAAACTTCTTTCAAGAAGGTCATGCAAAGGACTGGAATGGAATAGAAGCTGTGGATGCTCCCTCATTGGTGGTTTTCAAAAATAGATTGGACAATCATTTGACTGGGATGGTATAATGTCTCCTGCCTTGGGCAGGGGATTGGATTAGAAGACCCCCAAGGACCCTTCCAGTCTATAATTCTATGTTCTGTGTTTTTAAAGTTGCTAAAATAGCCACTTGGTATTTTTACTTAACAGCAAAAGTTAATATTTTAATGCCTGCTTAATCAAGTGAGTTAACCAAATTGATACCAATAGCATTTAGATTTATATACTGCTCCATAGTGTTTTACATCACTCCCTGAGCAGTTTACAATGTCAGCATATCGTCCCCAACAATCTGGGTCCTCATTTTACCAACCTCGGAAGGATGGAAGGCTGAGTCAACCTTGAGCTGGTCAGGATCGAACTCCAGACTGTGGGCAGAGTTAGCCTGCAATACTGCATTCTAATCACTCCGCCACCAGGGTTTAGCAGATATTGCTAGCACAATATTATAAACTATAAATAATCGAAAAATGCAAGCAGCTAACAAAGAATGTCTGGAATTTTGAGGTCATGTTGTGTGTTTTCATAAAATGGCTGTCTTCTGGTAAAGGTGCCATGGTAGATGGGTTCAGTCACAAAACCTCTAATTACTATAAGGTTAATTGATGAGGTTGATCTTCACCACAACCTCTAGCTTTCCAAGATGCTCTCTATTAATTCTGTTGACATTTGCTCCTTTTCCACATAAAAGCACTAGGCTCCAACCCCAGCTATTTTTATATTCTGAAAATATTTCTGGAACTTATGTGGCAGCCAAAGGAAATTTTATGGAAATGAAGATGACCTTTTAGCATGTTGGTTCTTCATTTATGGAGTTATTTTAATTAAAAGGATTTCAAGAACCTGTGGAGACCATTTTGTACCATGGGTATCTGATGGCCTTATCACAAGTTATCTAGCAGAAATTGCCATTTCATTTGTTCTTTTGATTTTTGATTCCATCAAGTCGCTCCCAGATATTAATTAATAAGTTAATTAATTAAGTAGTTTAAATAGTTAAGTTAAACTTAACTAGCACATTTTCTTCATTATTTACACCCTTGAAAAATAACAAAGCCAGCTCATTCAATAAAAGAGGTAGATAATAGTCGTCGTCCATTGAATAAAATGCTGGATCCTTTTATCTTTATTATTTTATTGAAGGGAAAAAAACCAGCATAGCCATGTGAATACTTGACACTGTATGGTCACGGTCAGTCTAGGAAATGCTCCAGATCAGGGGTCTCCAACCTTGGCAACTTTAAGACTTGTGGACTTCAACTCCCAGCTGGTTGAGGAATTCTGGGAGTTGAAGTCCACAAGTCTTAAAGTTGCCAAGGTTGGAGACCTCTGCTCCAGATCAACCTCTGAACAGAACCTTATACTTCTGCAAGCCTGACAGGTATTTTTGCTGGGGAAAAAAGAACCCCAATATCCTTGTCATCTCATGCATTTTCAAAAAGGAGCTGAGTGTTCCTCCACCCCATTCTAAGGAAGGAGCGAAGAACACTACTGAGATTTTGTTCCCATTTGAATTTTCCCCTCAACCTTGATTCAGAGGACACAACCAAGTGAGGTTATCAAAGTAGAACTTCTAAGCTTCTTTACTACAAGAAAGGGAGAGTGCATAAAGCCCATGGGATGGAGAGGTCTCATTCTCATAACACACACGTTTTCTTTAGTTTTATCTTTCAAGCTACGATTTGGTTTTCTCTTTCTCTCATTCTCCCTAAGTACTAAAACCTAACTACGTATCTTAATCTTTTATATAGCTAGAAGGTCCCATTGAAGTTATTCACCAGGCACGAGCTTCCACAGACTTCAAAGGAGGAAAGTATGATCTGTCATTCAAACAAGGAGATCTAATTGAAATACTTCGCATCACAGACAATCCAGAAGGGAAATGGTTAGGAAGATTAAAAGGCTCATGTAGGTATACTACAATGTGTGGAAATTAAGAGAATTTATGCTAACATAATGATGAAAGAGCCTGAATTTTCCCAAGGATATAGTTCTTGTATCTCTGCATTTGCTTCTGCATTTATTTATGTATTACATTTATTTATTTATTTATTTTAATTTAATTTATATGGCCATCTATCTCACACATGGTGACTCTGGGCAGGATACAATAAAACCAATAATTGAAACTTATTATAAAACCATTTAAAACATGTAAATACGGAAACATAAATAAGAACAAGATCATTATCAAAATCAGAACTTTATACATGGGGAGCCAAGGAACAGGCTCTCTGCTGCCTGATGAAAACACACACACACACAAACACATTTTGAGGGCCTTCCGGAAGGCTATAAGAGTTGGGGCCAACCTCAACTCAGGGGGAAGTTTCAAAGAATGAGCACCGTAGCAGAAACAGTTCATCTTCTGGGTCCCCTCCTTAACTGAGAGGACCCAAAACACGCCTCTCCTGCCAAATCTTTGCTGTTCTTTCCTGCCATATTATTGCTGTTCTTGCTCACCCCACTTCTACAATTGTGAGAAATTCTAATAGCAATAGCACTTAGACTTATATTTCACTTCACAGTGCTTTACAGCCCTCTCTAAGTGGTTTACAGAGTCAGCATATTGCCTCCGACTATCTGGCTCCTCATTTTACAGACCTTTACTGAAGGAAGGCAGGCTGAGTCAACCTTGAGCTTGGTAAAATTTGAACTGCTGAATTGCAGGCAGCCAGCAGGCAGCAGAAGTAGCCTGCAGTACTGCATTCTAACCACTGCGCCACCGTGGCTCTTGGTGATATGATTATAAACATTTGAGTTTTGTTGGTGATTAATGATATTGATAGCTTCATTCACCCATCTTAGACATGGACTATAACAGTGGTGGCGAACCTATGGCACTTAGAGCCTTCTCTATGGGCATATGTGCCATCGCCCTAGCCCAGCTCCATTACATTTCTCCTGCAGGGAGGAGAGAGAGAGGGAGGGGAAGAGAGGGAGGGAGGGAAAAAGAAAAATGATATTACAAAAGTTTTCAAAATATTTCAAAAGCAGAAAAAAAATGAAGGGGCATAAAAGTGCATTTATCATGTTTTTCTTAGAACAATTAGCTGAACTCTGCCTTGTTTATCATTATTTTAAGGAGTAATCCCTCATTATGCAGGTTAACTAGACGTATTGGCACTTTGCAATAAATAAGTGGGTTTTGGGCTGCAGTTTGGGCACTTGGTCTCCAAAAGGTTTCCCATCACTGGATTATAACCATTCAGAAGGAACAAATGCATAGACTGGCTCACAAAGACAGGGTGGTTATTCCCAAATCCCTCCCTTTCTTGTCAAGAAAGAAATGGTTTGTCCTTCTAAAGTAGGGTGAAACATCTACTCTTCACCTCATATTTAAGCTAGAATTTGCACAAATCACATGTTAATAAAGACACGGTTTCAGCAGTTCTTTATACTTTAGAGAAATAGGAAGATGCTACCCAAGCACTATATTCTTTATTTATATTGAAGTGCAAGTTTATATATACTCTGATATTTATTATATTTATACAAGCATAGCTATTATGTGTTAGATGCTTCATGGGCTCTCAGATCAGCTGAACCATCATAGCCTACGATCTCCTCAAAACTTTTTTATGGGAGATTCTGTTATAGCACTCTTAGCAAGGTTAATATTGCTTTGTACTTTTAACTTCCTCCACCATGTGAGCACCAATTTTTGCTTTTTTTTCATAATGAAGTCTTGTGATGTTGATCTAAATCTCAAAGGAGAGATCCTTTTGTCTTACACTCTTTGTACTACAGGTGTAGGTGGACATGCTACAGAATTAATTTTATTTTTATCAGCTTTTCTTTCAAGCTAGTATAATGCATAGATTGTGGATTATCTTCATATCTCACATGGTGGGTTTAAGAGGGGCTATTATGCTAACATTTGGTATTCATAAAATTGTACCTGGACTGACTGGCTTCAGACTACAGATGAGAGGCTACAAAATGGAAACATATTATGTACAATGTTTATAGAAAATTAATATAGGAAGGAGGAAGATCCTAATTCAATTTTTCCTATAATAAACTTGATTTCCATGTACTTTTGTTGTTAGTTGCGAAGTCGTGTCCGACCCATTGTGACCCCATGGGCAACGTTCCTCCAGCCCTTCCTGTCCTCTACCATCCTCTGGAGTCCATTTAAGCTCATGCCTACTGCTTCAGTGACTCCATCCAGCCACCTCATTCTCTGTTGTCCCCTTCTTCTTTTGCCCTCAATCTTTCCCAGCATTAGGCCCTTCTCCAGTGAGTCCTTCCTTCTCATTAGGTGGCCAAAGTATTTGAGTTTTATCTTCAAGATCTGGCCTTTGTTCAGTCTTGTCATCTCTTGTCTGACCACGTCCAGCTTGCCTTGATTCATGGATCTTACATTCCAGGTTCCTATGGAGAAAAGATCTTTACAGCATCAGACTTTCCTTTCTCCACCAGATGCTTCCACAGCTGAGTGTCCTTTCGGCTTTGGCCCAGTCGCTTCACTCTTTCTGGCACTACTAGTACTAGCCCTCTGTTCTTCCCCAGTAGCATATTGGACACTTTCTGACCTGAGGGACTCATTTTCCAGCGTCATATCTTTTTTCCTTTTGGTACTGTCCATGGGGTTTTCATGGCAAAGATACTGGAGTGGGTTGCCAGTTCCTTCTCCAGTGGATCACGTTTTGTCAGAACTCTCTGCTATGACCTGTCTGTCATGGGTGTCCCTGCATGGCATAGCTCATAGCTTCATTGAGCTACACAAGCCCCTTTGCCACAACAAGGCAGTAATCCATGAGGGGGTTCCATGTACTATGTCTTATTTATTTCTCTATGGAAAAAACATAAGCCAGAGAACCCTGGTACTGTCCAAAATTGGATTTATAATCTCATCTGCAAAACAGAGCAATTATTTTTCTAATTCGGGTAAGGTATATTCTGCATCTGTTGAATTAGCAGGATACTTCACTACCTCTTTGTTCTATACCACAAGATATTATGCATGATGATTTTTCAGTTCCTAGATGTATTTTTTTTATATACCAAAGCAACCATATCACCAAATTATATTTGTTTTAGATGGCTACATTAAAACTACCATGGTGGCAATTGACTATGATACATTAAAAAGGAAGCCACGGCCTCCCGTGCACGTTCAGTCAAAGCACTCAGACAGTGATCAAGAAGTATATGATGATGTCGGAGACCACGATAGTATCAGCAGGTATGTCACAGATTTGTGAACAAAGTGATGAGCACCACGTTTAACCCCTAAATACTATCACTAATTCTGGGTAGTCCAACCTCTTGTGCTGATTCATCCTTCTACATCTTTATATTTTTATATAAAGTTTATTGTTATTGTACGTATATACACAGTATACCCATACAATGAAATTCACATAACACTCAGAGACCAAGACCAACACACATGACAATCCCAAGACACACCCCCACCCACCAAAAATTCCCCACCCCTAAACCACCCAAGCATCCACCCAGCAGACCAAGTAAAGCTGTCCAACAGCTCACTGATGGTGGTCCTTTAGTTCATTGTTGAGTGCAATTATAGCTCTGGGATAAAAACTATTCAGAAGACTATTTAGACACTCCCCAACCTGTTTTTTTTCCAGAGGACTATAACAACTGTACAGTACTGGTGCCACTAAAATTTGCTTTTCAAAAAAAAATGCATATTTTATTTCCAAATAAGTAATAAATGGGAAGCTGACATCAGGGTGGGTTCTACTTACCTTTACAATGGGGATGCGCGCGCGCTAGCATTGCTTGCACACATGCACTTTTGAGCATGTGCAGAAGCTTCCTGATGACATCAGGAACAGTGGGCGGAGCCTCCTGCCAGTTTTACTACCGGTTCTATAGAACCAGTCTGAACCAGGGGCAACCCACCACTGGCTGACATGCTGTAACATTGCTGTAAAGCACATTTTGCCCTTTGAATCCAGATTGTTGCACAGCCTTAGTTCAGTTTAAAGAAACATGTTATATCTGACCCAGTCACTAAAACAGCCATTGGCTAGGTTTGCGTAGCATTGCGTAGAACGTAGCCAGCTTTGCGCCAATAATCTGTAGAATAAAACCATGGATCAGTTAAACATCTGTAAGCATGTTGTGCAAACAAAACTGTTCTGTATAGAACACAGCAACCTTGCATCAACCCGTGACAGGTTCTTGAAATTCCTAAGATCACTATTGGCCCAGAAAATATTGTCATTTTTCTCAAGAAACAGTTATAGAGATTAGCGACAGTATGAAAAGAATTGGTGAGAGTGATCAACCCTTAATGTGACTTTGCATGTATGTGAAAATGTATCTGGTTTTCTTTCCATTCAACATTTTGTTTTTCTTTGTTTGTTTTATGGGCAAAGTGGAAGTCAGAGTACGGGAGGTGAGTTCTCCTTTTTATTAAAGTCTTGAAATAATGATTATCTCTAACATTGTGTTGTTCATTTGTGTTGCTCTTTTTCACAGTAGAAACTAGAATTGATCCATGTGAAGCATAATCTGTATTTCCAATAATGCCTTTGGGCCCCCACATAGATTCTAGAGGCATTCTTGGAAAATAAAATGGCGGGAGGTTATTGTACAAGGCTTTCTTTATCTTTAGGTATATGAGGAGATTGTGACTGACTAACCAACTATTGTTGACCTCAAAAGGTTGGAAACCCTTCAGTTTTAGTTTGTTTGTCAGCCATTCCAGCATGATAAGCTGTGATTTCTACATCTGTTTGAATGTTAGGCAAATCAGTGATTTGCCTAATAATGACTGACAGAATTAACCCCAAATGTCTGAATTCACACAAGATTCTCAACTATAAACAATGGATGACCAAGTTAACTGGAGTAGTTTAGAATGGGAGCAGCTCCATCTTAAGAAAGTAATCTCAAAATAAGATGATGTCATAATAACATTTCAACAGTTTTATTTCAGAGTAAAATGATGACTCGAGTTTATAACAATTGGCAAGTGACCTGTTTATACAAGAAAAAAAAATCAATCAATTCATATATTAACACACCCTTTACTAAAATGTTTAGCAAATCAAAAATTCTCTGTCTGACTTTCTCTCACTGAACACCAAGCAAAGTCAGAAAAGTGCTAAATAAAGCTTTTGCTTTATTCTTTAAGCCAAGAATAAAGCAAAAGCTGGCTCAGGAATTCCGGGAGTTGAAGTCCACAAGTCTTAAAGTTGCCAAGGCTGGAGACCCCTGCTTTAAACTATGAGCATAAAATAAAGTCTCAACATAATCATCATGTTTGTTTTAAAACTAAATAAATTTTAACTTTTTTAATAATAGCCGGATATGGAGAGAGCTAGTAACTACTGAATCAACAAGCTACAGTATATTACTCATTTGATTAGGTTCTTCCCAGACATTTATTCAATGTGACTTAATCCAGTATCAAATCCATCCAAGACATTCCATTGCACAGTGGGGGACCAAGGGGGTGCTAATTCTTAATGGGCAATAAGATGCCAGCTTAGATTTCATTCCTTTAAAGAACAGCATTCTTTTCAGAGTGGGAATGATGAGATCTGTAGTCCAACATGTGTGGAAAGCCCCAATTTAGACAAGACTGAAACTGAAGATTTCTTCTGTGAACTAGGATATCTGTCCATTTTAAATCTGATCTCAGTGAGATCTACTTCTGAGTAGAAAATGTATCGGATGCATGGTAAATAACCTTACATGTATTAGGGTATATATATTTATATTTTAACTGTTCTGTTGTTTTTCCTTGAACTTATAAACTGACAAATTTATAAACTTGCTGCAAAATTTAAACTAAAAGATGAATTAATTCATAAACTCCATTTCTCCCTACTTCTTCCCCTATCCCCTTAAAACAGGGTTTCCGCCCCCTCCCCCAGATGACATTTACGATGGTGTAGAAGATGATGAGATTCCAGCCAAGTAAGTATGAATTACCCACAAAGTGTTAGCTCAAGATATAAATGTGTTAGGAAATTAACAAGTTACATACTGGGTGAATTTTGCAAGTTGTTGAAAATGAAATTATAGACATGTTTATCCATAAATTCTGAACTCAGTCCTATGAATATTTCCTTCACCAAGTCCCATTAAATTAATTGACATTTCTTCCTATATATATACAGGTTTAGGACTGGGCTAAAGTCATGAGTCATGTGTGATTCTCTTCTTTGTTATCATTGCTGCTGCTGTTGTTGTTGTCATCTTAGCCTATTTCATGCATTATAGAGCAACTAATTCCAATATACCTTCATATGGACACTCAAGAACATTACTTATGTTTCCAAATATTATCTTAGTTGATCCACACATTATGTTGGGATGTATACTTTAAACGTTCCAGACAACTATATTTCATATAGCAAATTATGGTGTATATAGTTAATGCTAATGCTTCCCATAGCAAAGATAATTAAGGTATGCTAACCATATTATTAAACACATGTGTTCAGATGTATTTGTGTGCATGCACAATAGGCACCCTTCATTTGTATAGAGGGCAACCTTTTGATTTACCTCTGGGCAGGGCTGCCTAAAGTGCTAACTTGAAATAAATGTTTTTCATATTCACCAACTTTAAGATTGTATGGATTTCAACACCCAGAATTCCACAGAGAGAATTCTGGGTGTTAAAATTCATACATCTTAAAATTGCCAAAGTTGAAAAACATTGCTCTAAATAATCTACAAGTAGCTCCCTGTATACATATTTCAATTATTCAATTAACCATTAGGCCAAAATTGCTAACATTTTTTTTAATATTCTACTATGTAATAATTGTGTGCATACTTCAAAGATCTGTGTCTCAGGATGAAGAGAAGAGTGACACCTGGTCCAAGGGGCTTTTGAAGATTTTAAAGGGAAAAGATTACCAAAAGAAAAGTATGCGAGAGGCAGCATCCAAAGTCAATGTGACAGAAGATGAAAATTCCTTGTAAGAGACTGCTGTGAAAAGTAACACACGCAAAGCTCACTAAAGCTAATAATACCACGGATTCATTGATGATTGTGCTCTACTAACCACTTCTCACAGCAGCCTAATAAGCCACAAATCAAACATGCATGATAACTCAAGCTATGGAAATACCACTTGACTATCAAAAGCTGGGCCTTTCTGTCTGTGACTTGATATCTTTTAACTATCATGGTTGTATGTTAGGCGAAGCGGTTTTACTATGAAGCAAGGAGAGATGAATAACAGTGTTGGAAGGGACCTTATAGGTCATCTAGTCCAACCCCTTGCTCCAGCAGGAGACCCTACATCATTTCTGACAAGTGACCATCCAGGCTTTTCTTAAAAGCTTCCAGTGGATGAAGCACCCACAACTTCTGAGGGCAAGCTGTTCCATTGGTTGATTGTTCTCACTGTCAGAAAATTTCTCCTTATTTTTTTTTTAATTTGATTTATATGCCGCCCTTCTCCGCAGACTTACAATGCGTTAAGCAATAGCCTTCATACTTTTGTATATTTATACAAAGTCAGCTTATTGCCCCCACAATCTGGGTCCTCATTTCACCTACCTTAGAAAGGATGGAAGGCTGAGTCAACCTTGAGCCTTGGCGAGATTCGAACTTGCAGTAATTGCAGACAGCTGGTATTAATCACAATGCTATCAGCCTGCTGAGCCACCAGCATATCTATTTCTAGATATGAATCTCTCCTTGATCAGTTTCCATTGATATTTCCTTGTCTGGCCTTTGGGTGCTTTGGAAAATAGTTTGTCCCCCTCCCCTCTGTGACAGTCCCTCAAATATTAGAATATTGCCATCATGTCACCCCTGGTCTTCTCTTCACTAGACTAGCCATGCCCAGTTCTTGCAACTGCTCTTCATATGTTTTAGCCTCCAGGCCCCAAATCATTTAGATGGCTTCTATTGAGAACAGGTTCAGGGTACCAATCTGGGTAGCAGAATTAGAAGCAGGCAGACCTGACCTACTGGAATAAAAATTATTGGCCTTGCATAGCTCTAATAACTCACATTAGCTGGGTTTGACCAGGGAAACATGCTGGTAGAGTGACTCCTAGTGGAACAATGACAGTGTGAATTTCACAGGATTCCATTGCTAAATAGGAAGCATTCATCAGCATGGTCCTCCTTTAATTATATTGCTTTAATAGCAACAGCAACAATAATATATTGCATTTATGTAATACTTTGGAACTGTTTAAAGTCCTTCCAATTATTTCAGGCCAAGGTATTAATTTCAGAGTGGTATAATAGCTTTAGAAATAGAAGTCTAATTATAGCCAAGAAACAAAGCTGAGAAAAGTTCACGTGTGAAATAGGTAAAGGTTCTTGCTATTATAATATGTATAGATTTGTTATTTAATTATATAAAGCAAGGGTGGATATTTTATAGCTTTCTTGATGTTGAACCTACCAACCTTAGTCTGCAGGTTGAATGACAAAAATTCAAGATACTTGCTTTATACTTTTGTATTTAGCCACATATGATTTAAAGTTGAGATACCAATCCTTCCATTTTATATATTAATTAAGGTTGTTTCTAAATTTATTTCTAGAAGAAGTCCTTCAGCAAAACAAACAGGGAAGGGTAAGTCGTTGGATGAAATTCTTTGACTATGGCTGAATTGAATTACAACTACTATATCTTCAATGCAGAAATCTGGATAACCATGAGATGGCAGCAAAGAGATCTTTAAAAAAATGTAGGATTTTGCTGCCATCTCATGGTTGTGGCCTTTTGCCACCTGAATATGGTATCTTCAACTTAGTATTTCTCAAACTGCTTGAGTTTTTACTTCAGCTTTCCTTTGCTTTACAGACCTATGAAGTTTGATGCAAGGATTAATCACAGTTTTACTTTTTTTTTATGATCGTTGTAACTGTGAAGGCCACTAAATGAGGCAGCCACTAAACAAAGCCTATTTGTAACATATTTTAATGTTATATGTAGTTTGAGTCCAGAGACTGTCGAAAAAGATATTTTGGGATATCTGCAGTGACAAGCATAATACTCCTTAGGCAACAAATACTGACAAGCAGCTTTGCCTGTTTTAAGATTCCAACTCAATGAGATTAATAGCATTTTAGTAACACAGTTTAACAGCAAATACAGGACATAATCCAATCCAGAAATATGTATATACATAAGCCAGTAATGCCCTGAAATACATTAGCTAAGTCTTACTTAACTCGGTCAGAAGATTTCTTGACTGTTCAACACCTCAATTTATGTTCTGTTAATATAAGAAAGTTCACGTAATAGCCAGGTTTATATTTGTCATGGCATATCATGACACACAAATTCACTGTTACAACATATTACTCAATGTACTTGGCCAGGTTTACCTGACAAATGTCATGGTAACTTTTGCCTTGTCTAAGCTTTATTTGAATGGCTAAACAATCCAGGAAACAAAAATTGGTTTATTTTTAAACTGCAAAGTTAAGCGTAAAGCACAATTTTAAGATAACATAAAGATAATGTCTTGGTTTAAAGTATGGCTTTTGTCTAAAATTGAAATCCTAATTTACTATTTTTGTCCAAATTTATCACCAAACTATATGTATAAGCATAACCAATTATAATTATCTTTTTTTTTTCTTCAAATCTATCTTAGATTCTGGAGACAGTGATGTTTACGATGATGTTGAATCCACTGACTTCCCTCCCCCACCAAAAGAAATTAGGCAAGTTAAAATAAATTCAAAAGTTTGTTTGTTTGTTTTCTTTTGTACAGAGTGGGGGCTGATTGACTTGTTGTATAAACAAGTAAAAATAATTTGCAGTTGCACCTAATATACCAATGTAATGCACTGATGGGGTTTTTCTTCCTTTTGTCCTAATGTATTGTTTTAGCCTCGGGAAAAATATAATATCTTTGAACTTTGGGAGGGGCAGATCTGATGAACGTGATTCACAGAAGTTTAAGAAGATTGACAAAGAAGAGAAAGATTTTCGGAAAAAATTCAAAGTAAGTATTTGTTTGATTGCGTGTAAACATCAATATGTTAAATAGAACATGTAAGCCATCTTAAACATATCAATGCAACATCTGATCATTATATAATTTCCCAGCTTCACAAAAGCCCATAAATACTGACAAGGGGTTCAGTTTCAACAAGATGCTGATGTTTCCTAACTATGCATTATAATCCCATACCTAAAACTGGTGAAATGGTAAAAGTGTTGACCCAGTGCTTGGAAATTGTCAGGGCTTGAAAGGGGAAGAACAGGCTTAGACTGAATCAGTTGTGGGTTTCAAATCCCGTCGCTATTGGTTCGCTTGTGGGTGCGCGGATGCTCGTCCTCATGCACAGAGATGTCTGGGTGGATGGGCGGAGCCTCCTGCCGCTACTGATCACCTGATCCAGTAGCAACCCATCACTGGACTGAATCCCTCCAAGGTTTATTTATTTATTTCTTTATTATTCATATTTCTATGCCGCCCACTCTCCAAGGACTCTGAGCGGCTTACACCAAAGACAGTATACTAGATAACATATTGCCCCCAACAATCTGGGTCCTCATTTTACCCACCTCAGAAGGATGGAAGGCTGAGTCAACCTTGAGCCAATGAGATTTGATCTGCTGATCTGCTGAACTAGCAGTCAGCTGAAGTAGCTGAAGTAGCTGCAGTACTGCACTCTAACCACTGCGCCAACTCGGCTCTTACACCGAGGTTCCAGGGAATTCCAGGGAAAATTTATGTTTGTCTCTGAAAAGAGATGGTATGCAACTTGATAAGATCAGCAGGTGGTAGTTGTGCCCAGGAAGATTTTTGAATAGTGACATTTTCTTTTTGCAGCAATAGCAACAATTCTGAATGAGGAAGCCCTGTTCAGTCACCTATGCCTTACAGTAGTTACTCTGCTTGGAATATTGTAATGTGCTGTACAAGGGGAAGTTGTTAGAAAGGATTTGGAAGTTGCAGTTGATACAAAACGCAGAGGCTTGGAGATTGACAGGTGTACCCCAAACTAGTGACTCCACTGCTTAAGGAGTTGCATTGGTTGCAAATTGGCTTCTCGCTAGGATTTAAGATGCTGTGTCACCTTTAAGGTCCTACATGGCTTCAGACGGAGTGAGCTGCATAGTGTTAGGTTTGATAGATAAATATGTTTGACAAATAAAATATCTCAGGAAGTGATTTCTGTATTTATCTGCCACTGCAAATCAAAATGAATTGGATTGATTCCCTCCAAATCCTTTCTATACCAAAATGCCATTTGTGTTATGCAAACCTAGCTGTTATGGCTCACACATGACAGTGAATATTTCACATGACCCATAATATTGGGTCTCTCATTTTCTCTCTCGCAAGTTATAATAATCTTTTTGTAATTTATTCTAATCTAATCATCAAAATCATAAATCAGAAGTAATTTTTTACTCAAAAAGTCCATTTTCACTAAACTGAGTGGAGTTCATTTTCTGATAGTAATAGCTAGTTAGTTAGATGCTTTAAAATCTTAATTCATAAAAGCGTACCAAAAAGCATTTCAAAAAGCTGCCTTGGAGAATAATTAGTCTTCTTTCGTTCCCCTGGGAAAAAATGTGAAAGTAGTCTATTTCCCCATTGAAAACACTCTTAGCAAAGCATTTTGTGGGTCTGATAGTGAGAGGAAGTCATTCAGTAGTCTCAAGGGAGTGTTCAAGTTTTGATCCAGAGGAAATGCAAATCTCTGAAGAACACGATGTGTTGTTTGGTTTGAAATTCTCTGTGAATCAAAAAAATTTAAAAAGGATGCAACTTTGTAGGGTGTTACTGCACTATGTGTTTCCTTGCTCACCTATCCACTGCAGCTGCTCTTCTGAATTTGTAAAACTCAGTTCACATAGGACTGGATTACATGACTGATTAATTTAAAAAGTCCTCTGATAAATCAGACTAAAGACTAACTAGCTTAGTTTCTTTTTCCACCTTGGTGAAACAAAAAAAAACCTCTGAGAAGAGGAGGAGGAGGAGGGTATTAGGAACTTTCCACTCATGTTCCCTAATGATTGGTCTAGAAACTTAAACTGCATCTCATATTGGAAGTAAAATACTACCATCCTGACTACTAGTTTGAAAAAACTTTATTCTCCCAGTTTCTGTCTATGTTGTGGCCCGCCAGCAGCCAGCGGAGCTGGTGACAGATTCAGACAGTGAGGAGGTTGGGGAGGAACATAGGCCAGTCCTGGAGTCTGGAGAAGGCTCTGATGAGTGCTCTGCGTCGGAGGCAGAGATGGGGCCAGGACTGTCTGGCAGTTGTCAGCTGCCTTCGGAGTCGGACATCAGTGGGGCAGAAGAACAGCTGGAGCCTGTTCCCAGCTCTGTGCATGCACAGAACTGCCAGGAGAAGGGAACAGCTAAGGAACAAGGGTCAACTCAGGAGTAAAGTCACAGGTGGACTGTAAATGGCCCCTCCCATAGGGAATAAAGAGGAGCAAAAGGGGAGGGGAGTTTGCAGGAGACAATTAGTTCGCTTAATTGGTTCGCGACTCTCAGAGACTTCTTGCCAAGTTTTGAAGATAGCGGCCTGGCAGCTCTCCAAGCCAGATAAGGTCTGTGACTGCAAATTCTCCCTTGAAAGACTTTGCTGGATGGAAATGATAGGAATTCACAGTAACTTAATAAAAATGGGGTTTTGTCGAGACAAGGAGTCTGCTTCATGCTCTTGGGAAGCCTAAGTCAAAACAGTCTAGGCCTCTTTTAAGGCCATCTTACATCATCATCATCATCATCATCACCATCATCATTATTATTATTATTATTATTATTATTATTATTATTATTATTAATATTTCTATGCCGCCCACTCTCCGAGGACTCTGGGCAGCTCACACCAAAGACAGTATACTAAATAGCATATTGCCCCCAACAATCTGGGTCCGCATTTTACCCATTTTACATGGTGGATGTCATCATGTCACATTGCATACTTCATAGATTAATTATACTCTGTAAGAAAAAAAAGTCTTTGCCTATCCTAAATCTCCTGGATGACCCCTAGAAGTTCATTCATATTCCTTTTCTCACACTATGTATATCGTGGATATGTTCTTCAGTTATGGTCTCCTTTTGTGATCCCTCCCCCCAGGCTAAGAAACCCTCAAATTTGTATTGTTCTAAAATTCTGATTGTGCCAACACTGTAATGTATTTTTAGGGAGTATAATTGTACATAGGAAAGACCTTGGGAGACTGGGCAAAGAGACACTGCCAAGGGAATGATCAAGTAAGAGTCAGCATAGCCCACAACCCTCATAGTGATTGGAACAAGAAGCTCAGAAGAGACTCTCCCTAGTTTCTTGGGCTGTAAATCAGGCAGACTAGGGGTTAAGGGAGAATTCTACTTTCAGACTTGAAAGATTCTACCAATGAAACTTTACAATAAAGTAGAATTACAGTAGCTCATCTAGTTGTGATTCCTATCTGCTTTACCCCGTGAATCTGACATGTTCAGTATACTCTGTAGCAGGGGTGGAATTCAGCCGGTTTGGACCACATTAATTTTAACCTGGTTCAGCGAACCGGTTGTTCCAAGGACTGGCTGACCCCGCCCATCCCACCCCACCCCTCCCAGGAGTCTCCACACGGCCCGTTTTGGATGCCAGGAAGTGCAGGGCACGCACAAAGGCTCTGGGAGGGCGGAAAATGGGCCTACTGGAAGTCTGGAAATGGCCCTGTTTCCAGCCTCTTGAGGGCCTCCGCTGCCCGGGGGAGGCCATTTTCTCCCTCCTGGAGACTCCAGGAAAGCCTTTGGAGCCTGGGGAATTTCCGTCCCATTTCCAGCCTCCGGAGGGCGTGCAAAACAAACCCATTGTTACAACAGGTGAATCCAACCTCTGCTCTGTAGTCTTAGGAGTGGAATGGAGAAGCAACAGATGGGCCACTGACTTACTGCCCAACTGGAATAGTGTTCTGATATAGATCCTATCCAGTCCCTTGCCTGGATCATCAGGCGAGAAGAATAGTTAAACAAAGATCACTCACTATCTAATCAAATCGTCTTGTACTGTATGCTTTGAGAGGTACAGTATACTCTGTAGCAGAGGTGGGATTCAACCGGTTCAGGTTTGAGAGGGAAAATCAAATGAATTTCAGGTAATAGCCTAATCTTCTCACAAGATTACATTTATTGAACTGTATCAAAGCCCAAAGTATAATTTCAATTGATGTTTAATATTTATTTATGAATAATTCATTTTATTTCCACAGTATGAAGGTGATATTCGAGTTCTGTATACTACTGCTATATCTAAAGCACCAACCCCAAAGAAAAGAGGTTCCAAAGATTTGCAAGTCAAGCCAGGAGAACTGGTTGAGGTTATTCAAGATGTGGATGATACTAAAGTGCTTTGTAGGAATGAAGAAGGAAAATGTAAGTACTAATACAGAATGGAAGAAAATAAGTTATGAAAAGCAGAAGTGGTCATTGTGCCCATCCAAATATTGTTGAATTCCAACTTCCATCAGCCCTAATGCCAAACATAAGAAATGATGGGATTCATAATCCAATAACAGTTAAAGGACAATGAAAGGATCTTTGTACATTCAAGATCACTATGGGCCATACAGGTATTACTAGCAATAGCTCGAACGATTTTCAGATTACCGTATTTTTCAGAGTATAAGTCACATCAGAGTATAAGACGCAACTTAGTTTTTGGGAAGGAAAATAAGAAAAAAGCTGATTGGCAGGTGGATCAGCCTCCCGGAATACCCCCCAATCAGCTGTTCCCAGGGGTGAATTTTAGCAATAGATTCCTTGGTTGTGAGCTCTGTGCCTTGCCTTTTTTGGCTTTTTTTTTCTGCCTCTGAAATTTCTGAAACTCTGTTTCAGAAAAAACTTTTTTTTTCTGCCTCTGAAAGCCTCCAAAACAGAGCTTCAGAAAAAAAGCCCCTGAAGCTCTGTTTGGGGGCTTCTTTTCTTTTCTTTTTCTTTTTTTCTTTTTTTTAAATTTTGATTTATATGCCGCCCTTTTCCGAAGACTCAGGGCGGCTTACAATGTGCTCAGCAATAGCCTTCATCCTTTTGTATATTTATACAAAGTCAGCTTATTGCCCCCACAAACTGGGTCCTCATTTCACCTACCTTAGAAAGGATGGAAGGCTGAGTCAACCTTGAGCCTTGGCGAGATTTGAACCCTGCAGTAATTGCAGGCAGCAATTACTGAAGCTCTGATGCTTTTTTCAGCCTCTGAAACGTCCATTTGAGAAGCCGGGCAGGGCTACATTCGGAGTATAAGACGCACCCAGATTTTCACCCTCTTTTTTGGGGGGGAAAGGTGCATCTTATACTCCAAAAAATACAGTAATTATAGAACATAATTATTTTGAACACTGCTGAATATTTTCATTTAATAATGAAAATTCATTATTAAATGAATTATTAAATTCATTTAACTGCTGAATATTTTTCATTTAATTTACAAAGCTCCTATTGCTGTTTTTACATTGAGACTAATCTATGGATGGTTAAAATAAACCCCTCCTTTCTAAAAGGAAAAATTGGTTTCAGAGAATATTCATCTATATCTGGAGGGAAGGGTTGGGTTCGCATGTCACACTAAGACACAGCTTGTTTAACCAGGTCTTGTTCATTAAACTCCAGTTGGAGAGTTTTATTATAACTATAAGCCAAGCTTTATAAACTATATGGATTCAGTGCCCAAGGCCAAGCCAAACATATCCCATTATTCACTTAGCCGGATTCATGAATCTAGAATATTTATGTGGTTCTTAGCCACAAATTTGGAGAATTGCTAGGTTCTTGGCCAGCACCAGCCTGGATACAATTTTGAATGCTGTGCTAGCAGTAGTAGCTGTTTTGTGTTGGTAAAAAGGATTGGCCTGTGTATGTGTGTGCACATTCCTCTGAGCCGAACGTTACAGTTTGCAAAGCCAGTTATAAGAGAAAGTAGATTTATTTAAAGCAATTGTCAAAGTGTGACCGATGGTACTTTTACAGTGGGGTATCTGTGTGACTTTAAGCAGAATATTTGCTTGACCGAAACTTTTTTTTTGTTTCCATTACTATGTACGAGTAGAAGATTTACAGGAATAGGGAAAAAATAGAACTACTGTATTTACAGTAGTGTGTTCAAACTTCCCAGTACAAAGTTTCTTCCTCCTTTCTGTCTCTCTAAAGGCTCTAACTTTATCTACCTCTTTCCCAGAGCTATTTGCTAGTGACCGTCCATTCCACTGCTTAATTACTAACTCCTTCAGCTCTTCCCAGTTTGGGGCTTCCTCCAGGTCCCCACATGTCCCTCTGCAGCCAACCATCTCTCTCTATCCCCATTGGTCTTAGGCAGGGGTGGTATTCACTTACCTTCGCTACCGGTTTGCAAATGGGAGCGTGCACAGGGCCTTCCGCACATGCGCAGAGCATCAAAAATGGGACATGATGACATCCAGGCAGGTGGGCAGAGCCTCCCTTAGCTGCCGCTACCAGTTCGCCGGAAGCAGATAGAACCGGCTGAATACCACCACTGGTCTTAGGGTTTGGTAAAACACATCCCTTTGTCCAGGTCTTGGCTTCTCTTTTCCCAACCCCCTCTCTCTCTGGGGCAGGAAATTGGCCAGAACTTTCCCAGTGATGTCTCATTCCAGCCACCAAATTCCCATATGGTCTCTCCAAAGATTCTCGCTATATCGTGATGCCTGAAAACAACCCAGCTTCAAACATGACAATGCATTCCTCCACAACTAAGAAGATCAGGTCTTTAGACTCCCACACTTTCAACACTAAGCTTGGCCAATCAAAATTCTACCTCCACCTGGCTCATAAGAGTCCTGGTTAGCAGTAAGGCAGCTCGTCTGTTCCCATGACAGCACAGCTCCATCTTAAAGCCATACCTAAACTTCTCCCCATTTTTCTTTCTTTCCTTCCTTCTTTCTTTCTTTCTTTCTCTCTTTCTCTCTTTCTCTCTTTCTTTTTCTTTCTTTCTCTTTTTCTCTCTTTCTCTCTCTCCCCTTCTTTCTCTTTCTTTCTTTCTCTCTCTCTCCCCCTTCTTTCTTTCTTTCTTTCTTTCTTTCTTTCTTTCTTTCTTTCTTTCTTTCTTTCTTTCTTTCTTTCTTTCTTTCCTTGCACCAGCCTGCCCAAAAACTCCATATTCCACAGCCAATATATAATAAAGAAGAGAGATTCTTGCTGCTCTCTGAGCTTGGGGGGGGGGGGGGTTTTTTTTTTTTTTTGCAAATGCAAAAAATAAAAGTAGGTAATATCATCAGTTCTAGTATGGAATGGGGGTTTGCTCTCAGTTTATATTCTAGTGCAGAGGTGTCAAACTCTCCTGGCGGTGTCACGTAATGTATCGGGACTTTTTTCCCCTTCGCTAAACTGGGTGTGGGAGTGGCCAGCGTGTGACACATCCAGCCTGCGTGCTGGGAGTTTGACAGCCCTGTTCTAGTAGCTTGCCCTGTCAGTGTTGGTGGGGGTAGTCTTGGAGATTCTTTGGTTAGGCTGTTTACTGTTAGATTGTTTGGCAGTTCCTTGATTGGGGCTTACTTTTGTTGTTGTTTACTTTTGGATTGTTGGTTTGATGTTAATCAGGGTGTTGATAGTTGGTGGGGACACGTTTTGGTCTTTTTGTTCCAATTTTGGTTTGTTGATTGTCTCTTTTGCATAGTATGTAGATGTTGTTTATTTCTATGTGTCTAGATTTCATGCATTCATGCTTTGGAACAAAGGCAGAAGGAAGACCCTGAGATTAGCAATCTCAAAAGACAAAAGATTGGATAAAGTGAAAGACAAGGGGATTCTGAGTGAATGCCTAACTCTCTGTCTACACCCCAACACAGTGGTGGGTTCCACCCGGTTCCGCCGAGAGCGGTAGCAGGGACAATATGACATCACCAAACCAATGATGCAGGCGACCCTGCATCATTTTTAAGAGCCAAGGTGGTGCAGTGCTTAGAGTGCAGTACTGCAGGCTACTTCAGCTGACTGCTAGCTGCAGTTCAGCAGTTCAAATCTCACCAGGCTCAAGGTTGACTCAGCCTTCCATCCTTCCGAGGTGGGTAAAATGAGGATCCAGATTGTTGGGGGCAATAGGCTGACTCTGTAAACCGCTTAGAGAGGGCTGTAAAAGCACTATGAAGCGATACATAAGTCTAAGTGCTAGTGCTATTGCTATTCTGGATAAAGGGCTGTCCAGTCTTTTCATAAAGACCTACAGTGATGGAGCACCCACAATATCTGGAATATTGTGCTGCTTGGGTAATATCAAGGATTTAAAAATCAATAAACATACTTGAGCAATGTTAATGAATGCACTCAGGGGAAATCTCCAAAACTCTGACTTGTTCTAGTAAAAGGGGGAAAAAATGAGGCTGAACAGAGTTAGATGCATAAAGGTTTACTGATAGTTCTGAATGAATGAAGCCTCTAAGGGGAAAACAAGGCAGGTTTGGCTTTCAATTGTCTGGAACGCTCTTCTTATCCCTTCATTCTAACACACAAAAATCAAATCTTGATATTGTACATCTGTAACAACATTATAGATTAATCTTGTATGAAATAGAATGATTCTAAGCATGATTTTTAAAAGGTATCTTAGGGATCCTTATGAGTTGCAAGTCCTATCTCTGTATAAAACATCTTTACTGAAAGAATAGGCATTTTGCTACTTCTCATTTCTATATGGGGATCGGGGCAGTGGTGGGTTTCAAAATTTTTACTACCGGTTCTGTGGGTGTGGATTGGTGGGCGTGGATTGGTGGGCGTGGCATGGCTTTGTGGGTGTGGCTTTGTGGGCATGGCAGGGGAAGGTTGCTGCAAAATCCACATTTCCTCCCGATCAGCTGGGACTTGGGAGGCAGAGAATAGATGGGGGCGGGGCCAGTCAGAATTTTTACTACCGGTTCTCCGAACTACTCAAAATTTCTGCTACCGGTTCTCCAGAACTGGTCTGAACCTGCTGAAACCCACCTCTGGATGGGGGAAGTGATAGCATAATAAATAATAGGGCAACTTTTTCTACATTTGGGTCCTCTTGAACAAGTAAATTATGAGTCCAAATTCCCCAACACAACCTCCAGAATTCTGGGAGTTGCTATCCAACCCACCTGGAGAGTCAAAGGTTGACACCAGCAGCAGAAAGAATAACCTTGATGAACAGGAAGAAGAGTCACTATCAAAACAACAATCAAATTTAAAAAAAAACTGAGTTGGGCCAGATCTATAACCAGAGTAAGTGTCTCTGTCATGATAAAATGCCTAACTGCCATGTCTCCCTGATCCCCGGACCCTCAAGGGTTAACTAACCACATGTCCCATAATCCTTATAACCACTCCTTACCTCTTAACCCCTCCTCCTGGGTACAAAAGGTCCAACCGCATGGTCCACAGCACATTCCAGATGTATACCTGAAAGA